CCGCGCGGTCCGAGAGTGATTTCCTCTGTGGCGTGCATGTGTGTGCGTACCTGGGCTGGCGCGCGAAATGTCGGCAGGCGGGGTGCTCGGGCTGTCGGCCGACCAATCGCGGCGCGCCTGCCCCTCGTGATGGTCCTCCTCCACCGCGCGGGGCTTGGGCGGACGGAGCTGGCGACTCCCGCCCGTGGCACATCGTGCAGAAGCCGACGCGTGGAGGTGGCGGGGGCTCAGGGGCGCGGCCGCCCAAGCTCTCGCCCGAGGCCCGCGACCGCATCTTGGCACTCAGCGATGCCGACTTCGAGCTGCTGTCGGTCACGCTGGTTGCCAGCGACAAACACGCCTGCGGCAGTCGCGCTTCCTGCTCCAGCAGCAGCCCGACACGCTCTCCGAGATCGAGACGGTCAAGTCTGCGCAGGTGGCGGCGGACGAGGCCTGCAAGCGGCTCCAGCAAGCCCAGCTGGACTATGGGAAGAAGCAGGAGCTGGCTGCCGAGGCGCCCCAGGCTTCTTACCTGCAGACGGAGAAGGTCGCGCAGCTACAGGTCGAGCTGGACGCCGCCGCCTCCAGGGCGAAGGCCGCGCTCGCCAACGACACCGTGCCCAAACATGGTGCTGCGCCTAAGTGTGACGTTGGCGAACTCATCGACCACGCGAAAAAGCTCGAGGGCGTCGTGGGCGCGTCCCTGGAGAACCCCAACCTCCAGCTCAAAGGGAACTTGCCGGGCCCCCTCCGCGCGCTGCTGGCAGGGGCATTGGCAGATCTGTCTCCTGAACCAGTCGCAGCGGGCGGTGGCCCCGCGGGCGCCCCAGCGAGCGGCTGCGGGGCTGCCGCTGGGGCCGCCGCTGCCGTCATCGCCGCGGGCGAAAGCATCGACGCGGACCTCGAAGGGCGCCCGCTGGAGTTTGCCACGGGTGACGCGTTCAAGTCCGCCGCCTCCGACTTCGTCGGCACCGACCCCGAGAAGCGGAAGTTCGTCGAGGAGTTCCACGCCCACCTCAAGCAGAAGCACGAGGCCGCGGTCGAGGCCAAGAAGCCGCGGCTGGGGTAGCCGTGCCCAGTCCTGGAGCATCGCGTCGCTGAATATGAACTCATATTCCACCGTCGACAGGGTCTCATCGAGGAGCTGGTGGGCTGCGACGTCATCCTGTTACAGGAAACTCGGCTGGGACAAGCACGCGCGACGGACGCTGAAAGGGAGCTTCGTCGTAGGGGACTTCGTGCTTGCGGGGCAGCCGCGGTGCCGTCGCTGGCTGGGGGGCTGGCGACTGGGGGGCTGCTCACGTGCGTGCGCAGTGAGCATGGGCTTGCCACCATGCTGGGGTCGCGCCCTTCCGTCCTGCGTGAGGGGCGCGTGCATGTGCTACATCACTCTGGGCCGCTGCGCGGTGGCATCGTGCTGGCCAACATCTACCTGCAGTCAGGCTTTGGCGCCAACGCATTCAACGGCCAGGCGCTGAGCGACCTGGCCTGCAGGCTACGAGAGTATGGTCGCCCGTGCACGGTCGGGGGCGACTTCAACAGCACCAAGCAGGAGTTGGTGAAGTCGGGCGTGCTGAGGCTCTTCGATGCCGTCGTCGCGGACACGTTGGAGCCCACCTGCGCGCAGTCGGAGAGGACGATCGACCCGTTCATCGTCTCGCGAGGCCTCAAGGTGACCAACATCCCAGCGGTCAGCGGGTCGCCAGTCTACCCGCTCAAGCCCGTCATCCTGGAGCTGGATGCCTCGCGCAGAAGGCCGTTGGCCAGGGTTGTGCAGCTGCCCAAGCCCTTCCCTGTCCAGCGGCCTGCAGGCTGTGCTCGCCATGCGCACGGCGAGCGCCGGAGCGAGATCGGCAGGAACAGCAGTGCTTGCTTGCTGGCGGGCAGAAGAGGGCGCTGGACAAGGTCGAGCATGACGACAGCATCAAGGGCCACCTCACCACCGCCTGGCAGCAGCTCCTCGACGCCGCCAAGGATGAGTGGATCGACATCTACCAGTTGGAGGAGGACAGGGTCAAGCACAAGGGGCGAGCTCGCCCTGCAGAGCCGCGGCGGCACCGTCGGCTCCCTGTGGCTGGTGCTCGCTGGCCTCGGGTCTCCGCCGAGGCGACCTGGATGCACCGTGTGGCCAGCGTGCTGCTCGACACCGCCGCCGTGGAGCAGCCATGCACGCGTCTCGACGCTCTTCGAGGTGTGCGCAGACTGCTATAGACAGAGCCCCAGCCACGGTGAGGTCGACACCTGACAACGGCGAGGTTCTGCCCTGCCCTGAGGTGTTGCCCCGAGCTGTGGCTTGGTGGATGCTGTTTGGCAACTTGCGTCTGTCCCTGCTGGGCCCCGTCGCGCTGCAGCAGCTGCATGCGTGCGCGCACGCGGTCGCGCTCGAGATGGCGGAGAGGGGCATGGCGCAGCGGGCCATCCAATTCCAGCAGTGGGTCGAGAAGCAGGCCGAAGGTGGAAGTGGCGGTATTCACGCGGTCTCCCGTCTGCCCATCAGGCTTGACCCGAGCCCCATCGGCGACGCCGAGAACGACGACGGCCTCGGCGACGGCAGGCAGCTGTTCTAGCCCCTGGACCTCGGGCAGCAGGTGATGCAGCTCGAGGTAGAGCGGAGTCGCTGGTGGAGGACCTCCTGCGATCACATGCGCTTGCGCCGGCCCCTGGACATGGACGAGACGCCGCCGAGGCCCACAGCCCAGGAGCTGCGCAAGGTGCTGCGCTCCTTCAGGGCCAGCACGGGTATGTCCTTCTGCGCCGTGAGGCCGCGTCAGCGTGACGAGCTATGCGACGAGGCGCTGGGGGTTCTCATCGACATCCTCATGGCGATCGAGCACGACGCCGCCTGGCCGCTCATGACTACCAAGATCGGCTTCATTCAGAAGCGGCTGGGCGGAGCGAGGCCCATCGCCGTCGCCATGGTGCTCGCGAGGGTGCAGGCACGACTTCGGCGCGGCCCCGCCCGCAAGTGGGAGGAGGCGAACGATCGCCCATACTGGCGGGCAACTGTTGGCCGCAGCTGCGAGCGGGCCGCGTGGCATCAAGCTGCGATCGGAGAGTGGGCCACGCAGCGGGGCGCTGACAGCGGCGACGCCGAGTCCTGGGTGGCGGTCGCCGTCCTGCTCGACCTGCTCAAGGCGTTCGAGCAGGTGCGACACCGCTGGCTGCTCGACGCTGTTCCCACTGCGGCAGCTCAAGCTGACGCTGGAGCTGTACTGCGCGCCGAGGGCCCTCTGCAAGGGCAGCGCTGCCTCGAGCCTGATCGAGGCGAGGCAGTCCATCCTGCCCGGCGACGGCTTCGCGACCTCGCTGCTGAAGCTGATCCTGATCTGGCCGCTTGACCGCCTGGCCATCCCGCACCTGACCGCGTCGCTGGCAGTGGTCGTGGACGACCTCATGCTCCACCGTGTTGGCGGGCTCGCGCAGATGACACAGGAGGTCGCCGAGGCAGCCTTCAATCTCAAGACGCCACTCATGGACGTGGACTTCGACGTGGCGGTCAAGAAGTCGAGGGCGTCGGCGAACCTCCCAGCTGCTCGCCATGGCCTGGCAGCCCGTCTACGCCGGCCGCTCGGCGCGGCACCGGTCAAGGGCGGGCGCAACTTGGGCGCTGATTTCTTGCGCGGCAGGCGCATCGTGCGAAAGGTGCGCCAGGAGAAGCTGGTGCAGGCAGGGCTCCGTCAGCGCCGCGTGGCGATCCTCAAGACAGGGGCGGGGCGCAAGAAGGCCGCGCGCAAAGTTGCCAGGACTGTGCGGACGGAGTCGTTCAAGGCGGTCGCGCCCAGCGTGACTGGGCGGTCGCGCACGCTCACTCGGATGCTGACGCCCATGCTCGACCCGATGATCAGAGCCACGCCCCTTCCCGCCATGATGCTGCTGCGGGCGGCCTGGGAAAGCTGGGCCCCCCAGCGCATCATCGACTACGGCATGACCTGCTGCCAGGCCCAGAGTTGGAGCCAGGCGCGCGGGCCCTTCAGTGCTGTGCGGCTCGCCCTCGAGCGGGTCGGCTGGCAGGTGATCGACGCCACCACCTGGCGCACGCATGAAGGCGTTGACATCACTGCGTTCGAGCTGGCCCCCTGGATCGTCAAGCGTCTCCAGTTGCGGGCTGTGCTAGCACGGCAGCGGCGTGAGGTCAGCAAGGGAACGGCGGCGCCCTCGAACCCTTGATCAAGATGACCACCACTGGCGCCGTCAACCGCAACGGCGCCTCTGGGAGACAGCTGCAGGTCACGGAGGCCAAGGGCCAGGACCCTGCGCGGCGGGCTGCCGCGCCGGCGCGCATGACGCTCGAGGGGGCTGAAGGCCCACGCCACGTTTTGGCTCCAGGACGTCTCAGTGCTCGACGAAGCTGGAGACAGAGCTGACGCCTGTGCGTGTCCTACGTGGCCGACCTACTGATGCATGGGACGTGGTCATCGCTCGTCAGCGAGGCTGCGCGTGCGATCGGCATCGACAACCTGGGCGTGGCCAGGCTCAGGATGGCGCAGGAATTCTGCGAGGAGGCGCGGGCAGCACGGCGGCGCATTCGGGCCCACTACGACGCCAACATGCGCAGGCAGGCCCAGTCCGACGCGCAGGAGTGGAAAGAGCAGGTGGCGCGGCACGCGCGCTCCATGATCGAGGCGGAGGAGGAGTTCGGCGCCGCGCTCGGCAGGCGCGCTGCAGCTGCTGCCCGCGGGGCCGCCGCTGAGGCGCCAGTTCCGCCGCTGGCGGCAGCGGTCTGCCCCGAGCTGGCGGCAGAGCCTGCTGCCTGGAGGTCGTCGCTGTCGAGTGGGGAGCAGGCAGCTGCATCGTCGGGTGCGAGGCCGCCTTCGGAGGAGTCGTGTACGAGAGGCAGGCCCAGCAGGACCGCGTCCGCTCGGGTGGAGGCCGCGGGGAAGCTAGGGCCCCCGGTTTGCGGCGAAGCTGGGCCTCAGCGAGGTGAGCTGGATACTCGTGCTCGACGACCTCCCGTTGGTGTGTCGAGCGCTGGCGGAGTGCCTGGGGCCGCTGTGCTGGCGTCAGAGACGCCGCGTACAGAGGATGGCACTGTGGTGCGGACGGACCATGGGCCGAATCCCATGGATGCTGATAAGCAGTCAACGCCCAGGCTGACACCCAAGGGGCGCGGGCACCTCGCCTCGGTGGTCGCCAACGGGCAGTGGAGTCAGAGCCGCCAGTTCGAGCAGGGCATGGCCGTGGATGACTCGTGCCTGCTGTGCGGCGAGGTCGGCACCCTCCGCCACAGGCACTGCGGCTGCGCTGGATGGCCGCCCGAGCTGCGCCTGCCTCACAAGGCGAACATGTTGCTGGAGAAGGCCGACATGCTCGAGGTCAAGTGCTTGCTGGAGCGCGTGCTGTGGCCAGCCCTGGCGGGGATCGTCAAGCTCGGCCCGCCGCCCCACATCTGATGGCTGGGCGAGCGCGACGGGTACTTCCCGTCAGGCGAGCTGATTCTCGACGGCTCGCAGCTCGAGGGCGACTACGAGCGGTATGCCAGCGTGGCCTGGGCCGTCATCGCGCTCGAGCGGGACGCGGACGTCTTCCTGGGCGGGGCGTCGGGCATGCTGTGCGAGCCGCACGTGGGCATCAATGATGGCGAGCTCATGGCGCTCATCCGGGTCCTGAGGATCGCGATGCCGCCCGTCACCGTGGTCGTGGACAGCGGTTTCGTGTGCCGCGACCTCCTGGAGCTTGGGCCCAGGCGCACCACCGCGCATGGCGCGGCGTGCGCTCACCTCTGGAGAGCGGTGTGGAGGCCGCTGGGCGAGTTCGGCGGCCCGGGGTGCGACGGGCCCGCCCACCAGTCCGAGAGGGCCATCGACCATGGCAAGATCACGTGCAGGGACTGGCTGGGCAGCCGCTACGCCGACAGTGCTGCGAAGTCGGCACCAACCGCTGGGCGCATTCAGCACGATGATCGGCAGCGCCTCGCCATGGCGGACAAGCTGGTCGAGGGCATCGGCACGTGGGTCTCTGCTGTAGGCAGCGCAACGGACGGCAGGGACACCACGCACTGTGCCGCCAAGCCGAACCGCCCCGCGCCGAAGGCAGTGGCTGCGCAGCCAGCGGCGAGGCTCTCGTGCGACTTCCGAGGGCGTCCTGGCAAGAGGTGGTGCAGCCGATGCAGGTGGGTCGGGTGCACGAGCGAATGCCCTGGCTCGATCACCGCGGCGGCGCTGCAGCACAACGAGCGGCTCAAGGGCGACGGCCAGGACGCGCACATCCTGGTGCTGCTGCGGCCCCTGCGCGAGGCCGACCTCGTGCACGAGATGCCGCTTGTGGCATGCGCAGCCTGTGGCGCCGTGGGCTCCGCGCGTGCGGCCAGCTTCGCTGCCCCCTGCAGCCGCGCCTCGGCCAAGGGCAAGCTGGCCATCGCCAGGCTGGGCAAGAAGCTGGTGCCCGCCATGTCGTGCAAAGTAGCGGTGTCCATCGAGCCGTTGACGAGCTGACTGGCGTCTCCCAGCCGCGCTGGGCGTGCTGGCTCAGCCGATGGCCGCTGGACACGCAGTGGCGCTGGGAGGAGGCGCGCGGAGCCCGCGGGGCCGTCGCGCGCCGCGCACGCTGAGTATGCGGGCGCCCGCTGAGGCAGGCGCGAGGGCCCGCTGCGCGCGGGGGGCGCGCCTCCTCCTCCTCCTCCGCCTCCTCCTCCTCCTCCTCCTCCTCCTCCTCCTCCTCCTCCTCCTCCTCCTCCTCCTCCTCCTCCTCCTCCTCCTCCTCCTCCTCCGCCCCCTCCTCCTCCCATCCTCTACCCCTCTCCCTGTTTGGACCTGCCTCTTCAGAGACAGACCACCGTCTCAGTTCAGTCCTAGCCCTCATGTCCTCCCCTCCCCTGGAACTTCCACCCACGTCCTCCTCATCAGTGTACGCAGTCATCCTCATCGTCCTCTCTGCGTTCCTCCCTCCTGATCCACCTTCTTCAATCCACCTCTCTTGCGTCCACCTCCGCAGTCTTCTCATCGTCCTGATCATCAAGCTCAGCAGCAATATCACCAACACCATCATCATCAAAAGCATCACCATCGTCACCATTGTCACGATCGTCATCGCCATCGCCATCGTCAGTACCATCACCATCACCATTACCTTCATCACCACAATCAACATCAACATCACCATCGCCATCAGGACAACCATAATCAGCAGCACAACCATCAGCAGCCGCATCGTCAGCATCATCATCATCGTCGTCATCGTCACCATCATCAACGACATCAACACCATCATACTTGCCATCCTTGCCTGCATCACCACCACTACCGTCACATTAATCATCACCATCATCATCGACATCATTGCCATCATCGTCATCATAAGTCGTGCCGCCCTCCTCCTTCGAAACCATATCTCATCCCCCAATCCTCCCATCCTTCACACTCAAGCTGCTGCGGATCCTGATCCTGCTCGTCGTCCTCCTCCACCTGTTTTCCTTATGAGTAACTCCTCCCTGTCGCACCCCCAGACGTGTCGACAAGGCGCGCAGGGCGTTCCGCCTGAGACGCCCCCACCATTCATGACCCTGAAGTTTGAGATTTGCAACAACTTGAGGGATGGGAGACGGCCCGTGTTTTATGCGGCTCCCTATTTAGATCAGCGCACAGCCGTCTTGAATGTTCGCAGCAGCTTCAAGGACAGAGCGCGGTTCCTTTCTCAAACTGTGGTTCGTACCTTCGCGCGGCGCGCATGCGTCTTAAACATTGCAACAGCTACGCAGTTCCAAGAATCGCGATGTTGAAATCTAAGCGTTGGTGTTCTTACACGACTTAGGATTATCAAGACGCAACAGTTAAACTGATGCGCCGTGCTGAAATCCCAGGAACGGCGTTCTGGCACCATCTAGGACTGTCAGGACGCAACCGTCATATTGACTCGCGGCGTTGAAGTCCCTGGAACCGTTTTCTGGTACGGTTTAAGATTGTTAGGACGCAACACTCACGTTCATTCGCGGCGATGCAGTCCCAGGAGCAAAGTTCTGGTACGATTGAAGATGTGCTTAGCGCTTGTCTTCCAGGGAGGCACTTCCCGCAATGAACATAAATGTTCCAGGGTCCGATGGATGGGGGAACTTGGAGGAAGATGTTTTGGGGAACATCGTCGATGGGTCTTGAGTTTGCACGTGTTCTTCCTCCTCCGTCTCCTCCTCCTCCTCCTCCTCATCCTCATCCTCCTCCTCCCCTTCTTCACCATCATCATCAGCATTATCATCACCGTCATCATAATCGTCATCATCATAGTCATCAGCATCATCAGCATTATCATGTCGTCATCAGCATCATCATCACCATCATCAGCATCATGATCACGATCATCATCACCAACATCGCCATCGACATCGCCACAATCACTGATCATCCATTATCACTCCTCCCTTGTCCTTCTTTGCTCCTCCCTCATCTCCCTTTCTCATGGCCCACCCCTCCTCACCGTTATTGCCAGCATAACAAAACCCATTATCGACATTGTCATCACATCATCACCACTATCATAATCCTCGTCCTACCCTCCTCCTCCTCCTGCTCCTGCTCCTCCTCCTCCATCTCCCTCCTCCTTCACCTCCCTCCCTCCTCCTTCACCTCCCTCCCTCCCTCTCCTCCTCCTCGTCATCCTTCTCCACATCCATTTCCCCCCTCCCTACTCCTCTTCCTCATCCTCCTGATTCCTCAACCCCTCCCCCGCCCCCCGACGACCTTGGCGAACGGGTCCGCCTCAACCCGCGCGGCGAGCATGGAGAGCACCCGGCTCCCGGTCCTGCTGGCCTGCCGGCGCAGGAACGCGGCCACCCTCTTCTGCACGTGCGCTGAGTGCGCGTCGGAGCGGAGTGCCGCCAACGAGCGTCCAATCGCCTGAACGCCTCCTCCTCCTCCTCCTCCTCCTCCTCCTCCTCCTCCTCCTCCTCCTCCTCCATCTCCTCCTCCTCCTCATCATCATCATTCTCCTCCTCCTCCTCCTCCTGCTCCTCCTCTTCCTCCTATCCAATTCAATTGCTCCCTCTCCTCATGCAACGCGTTGTGGAAAAACCTGCCTATCGAAGAACTACACCCGCCTCCAACGTGGCCAACCCCGAGGGAGTCTCCAGCCAATTCGGGCCAACCCCTCCAGCCAACCCTGCTCAATGCAGTTCTTCTCATAAGATTGAATGCCTTCCTCCTCGACTTCCTCCCCTCCTCCTCGTCCCCCCATTTCCCTTTAGCCTCCCTCCACATGATCCTCCGCCTCCCGCTCATCCCTCAATCCTTCCATCTTTGCTCCTCATGTCTTTCTTGCCCGCCTGGCTCCACATCTAAAGAGGCTGGCGCGATGGGCGGCACATATGTTCTCCACGACACATCCTCGGGCTGCGGCCTGCTTCACGATCTCCGTAGTCAAGTGCTTTCATTGGGTCGGGGCAGGGCGGGACGGCAGGGCTCGGCTTCCAAACCTTGACCCATTCCTCCCTGAGCTTGTCGAGCTGCTGCTACTGACCAGTGGAGGCTGTCGAGTACCGTGTTTGCCACGGTTCCCAGGGGCCCAACCCACAGCTGTCTGAACAGATGTGCGAGCTTTGCCTCCTCGTTGTTTGACAACCTCGTCTACCCATCCTCTCCATGGCGTCTGCCGGTCAGCCGTGAATGCACTCTTTAGGCGACCAGCGACCTCAGCAGCAGCTTCACCACGGGCGCGCAGCGCAAGGGCATTGAGCAGGTCCGAACAAGTCGGGGTCCATTCCTGCCACTCCTGAGGCTCACGCAGCCGTTGGGGCCCGACATCACGCTTGGCGAAGTTACCCACTAGATACCTGACCCCGCTCCTCATCAGCACGCCTGAGGTAGAACAGTTCCTGGAACAACTTCGAGTCTGGCGTCTAGCCCCCTCCCAGGGCTCTCAGGGTACATACCCCAGGGGGTAGCAGCCTCCAGACCTCCGCACGGACGAGACTTTGACCTTCCGGGGCGGCGTGTCACTCCTGAGATACTCTGGCTGGTCCTGAACTCCGTGGTAGACAGCAAACCCTCACTCCAGACGCTCCTGCGACAGCTCGTAAACACGCATTGAAGCGACCCTGACCTCCTCGGCACCGCACTACTTCGAGAAGGCCCTCCTAGCATGGGCGCTGTAAGTGTGGACCACACGCCGCTTCCGTGAGAAAAGACGTCGGCGAATTCAAAACAAGAATGGTCGACGCCAGCACGACGCCGCCAAAGGGAACTCGAACGGGCCAATGCGTGGCGATAGGAGTGTCGCCCTTCACCCCCACTGCTGCGCATACACTTGGCCATCCCAGCTGACATCACGACGAAATCGAGTGTCCCCCAGTTCATACTAGTGGACACGCACGCACACCTGGGAGGTACACCTGGTGCACTGCCCAGACGACCCACACAGCCAGCCTCCGAAAAAACACGCGGGGTCGTATGCCAGGTTGCCTCCGAGAACGAGCGGGAGACCCCGACCATGCAACATGTCGCCAAACCAAGTCAGGGTGAGGCCTCCCCCGTCTCCGAGCGCGACTCCCCTGAGGCAACAGAGACTCGCCAGGAGGAAGCCGCCAGGAACAGACGCGCGGATCCATCCCATCCATACTCGGTAGTGTGCGGGGGAGCATGCTCGGTGGGCAGAAACCGCATCCCCCCCACACGACCGCACGCCCACGCCGACCACATGCTGACGAGCCCCCTGCTTCAGCAACCTCCGAGGCCTGGACACGTGCATGCCCCCCCGAACTTCTGGAGCTGACCAGCACACCCCTGAGCTCTTCTGCAAACAGCACCGCGGCCCGCCCCAAGTCTTATGTTCTTATGCTGCTCCGATTAAGACCACATCCCAGAAATAATTTCGAGCACCCAGAAAAGTATCGAAACGGTGTCGAACGAATATCGCCTCCCAGGGCCCGATACGTGAAAACCCTCTACTTTCGGTACTTGCGTGGTGCTCGAAGTTCTTTCTGGCAGTCCAGGCTAAAGTAGGTTGGAGCATCATAAACCAAGTCGGAGAATTAGAACTGGGCATGCACGGTGGGCGGCAGCTGGCGCCCCGGCCCGCGCCCGCACACGAACCGCAAGACCGCGACCCAGGCCTCCACCCGCGCGCCAGGGGCAGCAGCGGCGTCCGGAGCAGGCGCGGCGCCGAATGGCCACTCCTGCGAGCGCCGGGCGCCGTCGCGACGCCAGCGCCGCCAGCGTCGCCCACGACCTCGCCGCCCGCCGATCGACGGTGACCTCCTGGCCAATTATTCAGGAGGTTATTGCAATTTTTAATTTTACCACATGAAAATGCAGTACGTAGGAAGATGATGTCGCAGATCATTGGCCTATCAATTACGTAAAAAGTACTTTTTACAACGAACTTACGACGCTCGCGTCGGTCTCGCTCTCGAGAGAGCTCTCGAGCGGCTCCGGCTGGGCTGAACTGCACGCCTCTCGGGGCAAGAGGGCTCCCCCTCGCCTGGGCTCGAAAACCTAATGGGCCCCGGGAGATCGTGGCTTACTGCCCTCGAGGGCCAGCAGGGAGGCGCCTTCTGACGCCGGGCTGCACGCCCACACAGGAGAAGAAGGAGGAGGAGGAGGAGGAGGAAGGAGGAGGAGGAGATAGCAACGAACAGATGCGGACATGCAGGGAGGAGGACAAGGTGCACCATCCTTGTGCACACAGCTGGTCCACGATCCTTGTGTTGTGCACACGCGGGCTCCAAACAGGTGCACTATGCTTGATATCCTGGCAGTCACTGAGGCTTCCATGCCATCCTGGGCACGGCCAGCCTCCGCCAGCTCCAGGCCTTCCAGGCCCAGCGCATGAGCGGCGGGAGAGGGTGGCACGATCGCCAAAACGCGCGCCGCAAAAGAGGGGAGGGCGCTGCGGGGGAGGCGGCGGCGGCGACGGCCGCCATGGCGGAGGGAGAAGAAGAAGAAGAAGAAGAAGAAGAAGAACATTCCTCGTGGCGCGGCCGTCCTCACGCCACCGAAACCTCGCCGCTCACTGGGGTTACAAATTGGCACGCCCGGAATGGGCACGGAACAAGTGGGTACGATGCCCACCAGCAAATCTGGTCGCCCAAAGCCGACAGCCTCTGCTGTTGGACATACGACCTGATGCTCAAAATCGGCAATGCCCGCGGACAGGCCGACAGAGAGCCCTGTCCGAAATGGACAGGAACTGTTGTCCGTCTTCGTCACCACTCGTTCCGTGCCCACCTCAATCGCACCGAACCAGGTCGGCCGCCCCCTCGCCTCGGGGATCTACTGACCCGGGTCAATCCAGACCCTGGTCAGTCAGGCCCTTCAGGATCCTGCAGGATCCTGCACCCAAGCCCGGATCAGTGCGACCGTGGCCCTGCAGGATCCTGCAAGATCCGGCGCTCTGACTGACCCCCAGTTGCATTGATCCCCGTCTCTTGAGCCCCCCTCGTCGTCGCCGCCACTCGCCCCGGTGCACGATGGGAGGCCGACCCAGCGAAAGAGGCTCCAGCTCCGTCGTCGAAGCCGTGTCCTGCGCCAGCCGCGGGGGCATCGCCTCCACGGGCCTCCGCCGTCCCGGCCTCCCCCTCGGCGCAGGGCGCTGCGGTCACGGCTGCGGACCATCGCTGGCAGGAGGGGCGACGACAAGCTTACGGGGAGGGTACGTCTTGAAGTCCCTTGCAAGTCGCCTCTGCTGACCTCTGCACCGCACTTGCTGCGTGTGCCCGCTCGCGCCCAGGCTGCCTGACGCTTCGAGCCCTCGAGGCCCATCATCGGTGGTTCAATGATGGGGTCCTGAGGGACGGGGTCCTAGGGACAAGGTTCCTCAAACAGTGCAAATTCACGCTTGGATCCCTTCCCATCCCTAGGTCCCCATCCCTCAGGACCCCATCTCTGAACCTCCGACAACAGCTTGCCTAAGAAGAAAGCTCACGGGGCGGGCCCCTTGCCGTCAGGGCTGGCAGGGACAGGAGGAGCGCCATAGTCCGCAGCGGCAGGCCTGCCCGCCTCGAGGTCCTCGCTGGCAGGAGCGCCATCCACGGGCTGGCCGCGGTCGGTCTGCCTCCTTCCTCCGTCTCCTCTCCTGTGAGTTGCTGGCGTTCCGACTCGAGGCAGCTGGTTGCTTCTCTCACTGATCCGAGCAGCTGGCTGGCCAAGATCTGGATGCCTGTGTGACAAGCTGCTGATTCCACTCCTCTGACTGCTTCACGTCGCCGTCGGTAACCTTGCAGACGTCTGCCAGGCCGAAGAGCTCGCCGCACTGATCCCAGTCGAAACAATAGATGCCCCCGTCGAGTAGGCGCTCCAGCGGGGAGCGGCCCGTTGCTCACCCTCATCCTCCTCCTCCTCCTCCTCCTCCTCCTCCTCTCCCCCCTCCTCCTCCTCCTCCTCCTCCTCCCCCCTCCTCCTCCTCCTCCTCCTCCTCCTCCTCCTCTCCTCCTCCTCCTCCTCCTCCTCCTCCTCCTCCTCCTCCTCCTCCTCCTCCTCCTCCTCCTCCTCCTCCTCCTCCTCCTCCTCCTCCTCCTCCTCCTCCTCTCCTCTCCTCCTCCTCCTCCTCCTCCTCCCTCTCCTCCGCCTGCTACGCCTCCTCCTCCTCTTCTTCCTCTCCTCCTCCCTCCTCCTCCTCCTCCTCCTCCTCCTCCTCCTCCTCCTCCTCACCTCCCCCTCCCCTCCTCATCCTCCTCCTCCTCCTCCTCCTCCTCCTCCTCCTCCTCCTCCTCCTCCTCCTCTCTCCTCATCATCCTCGTTTTCCCTGGTTCATCCTCCCAACGATCCCCTAAAGATCCGCAAGAATTACTGTCCTTACCTACATTCCCCTCCTCATCTTCATCTGCATCCGCATCGCTATCCTCACCCCCATAATCTGCTCAGGCACGGGCGTTCCGTCTCTGCCAAATCGTGCGATAGCGGCGCACATCCTGCCAGACAACCACAGACCACAACGGTGTCCATCCTCCCTCTTCTTTACCTTCCCCCTGTTCCCTGTTCCCTGTTCCCCTCCTCCTGTTCCCCCAGGACCTCCCCCTGTTCCCCTCCCCCTCCTCCTCAAAAGACGGAGCCAGGACGGGGAGAAATTCGAACGAAGATGAACATCGAGAACATTTGAGATCCCGCGGATCTGGAAGATGTCTCGGGCGCCGACACATTATCGGAGCGCTCCAGGAAGCTCTGAGCGCGTTCCGGAACGCTCTTGGACGGACTTATCCTCGTCCTAGCCCCGTCCGACCTCATTATCACCCTCATCCTCCTCCTGCCAATTATCACCAATAGCAACAGCCACATGGTTATACTCCTTCCAGCCGAGCCTGAACGTGCATGAGGGTGGGCAGGTGCTTCTCAGCATACCCCGTGACGGTCTCGCCCTTGATGATCTCGATCGCCTTCTCGACGGCGACCAGCTCCTGGGTGCGCTATGCTATTGCAGCGGTGGAACTCAAGAAAGCACGGCCAGGCATGGCATCGAGAGGGTGGGGACGTAGACAAAGTGGAGGCCTATGACAGTTCTGAGCACAGTCAAGCGCAGCTACCACCACAGGCCCATCTTGGGTTGGGTTGGGTTGGGCGCGAATTCATGGGGGGGCGGTTAATGGTGTGGGGGGGGGGGGGCAGAACGGTGCCCTTTCCAGACCCTAATGGCCCCCTTCTGGACCCTTTGGGGCCCATTTAGGGGCCTGGAGGGGCCCTAAAAGGCGCCTTTTCGGCTGCCCTCGCTGCCCCCTCATTTATCGCCCCCCCATGACGCGTCCTCCGACTGGGGACGTCCCAGGAGCCGTCCGGAAACTCCTGCAAAGGCTCATCTGGGGAAAACAGAAGGCACCGCTACCGATACCGCTACTCCCCGGACCACTCCTGGGGTGCGCGCTGACCAGGATTTCGAAGCGATTCCAGCGGTGGCGATGAGGGCCTCCCAGGAGGCCCAAATACAAGAAAGCGATGGCAGGGTAGCGGTATGGGTACCTTTCCTCCTCTGATAATGGGGTCCTCCGATGGGCGAGGGCGGGGGGGTGACCCAGAGACCTCCGACGGCCCGGTTTCCCTGAGCAGCCAGCCCCCGGATCTCTGAACCCCTTTGCGGGGCAGCCTTTCCACACATAGACGTATACTGGAACCA